CACACATCTGCAGGACTAATTCTACCAAATCACATGGGGAGCCCATAGCAAGAAGCAGAGGAGATAGAGGCTCCTTACTGAGTAAAGCATTCAATCCTGAAGGGGTTGGCATAGGGGAGATCGTTTTCATGAGCTGCCTTGTGAAAGGACTTCACCTTTTCTTAACATAATTTCTTGGCTCTTTCACTGCTATCGGCTTGTTTTTCCATTGCAGTGTTACACAAATACTCCTGTTCCTACAGTTGTCCCATTACAGCTGTGAAAAACCTTCTCTTTTTTCACAGGCTGAAAATTCTGGATGCCCTGAACAAAACTCTGAGGACAGAGAGTTGATTGTTCTCTTTATATTAAGCAATTTCCAAAGTGGGCTAGGAAGGAAAGAGACAGTACAAGAGCATGTGAGGAATATTTAGGGAAGGGGGAATTGTAGGGCTGTAATTCTTTTGCCCCCTTTCCCTTCCCAAGCTTCAAAGGGGCGACAAAAGTGCTGTTGAAGGCAGGGGCACTGGAGGTTATGGACAAAGGCCTTTTGGAACAGATATAAACAATACAGTGTCTACATACTCATTTTGCTGACAGAGTTGTAATTTGAAAACTAAGACCACTGGGAAGGATAGAGGGTCAAAGATGACCAGTTCCCAGGCTGAAAAATTGGTTTTTGCTATCTCACTTAACAAACAGGAGGGCACATGCACACTTATAGCCACAGAAATTTATGCCTGCTGATAAACCCTTGCACTGTAGACTGGGAATAATCAGGAGCGTCTACTTGTGACGGTCACAGACCTGGGCAGGCAGCAAAACCACAGATTCATTTCTAGCAGGAGGATCATGAGAGGTTGTTTGAGCAGTGCGTTGTCTGGAAATAAGCACGGAATGGTGAGAATGAAGTGTCCCCTGCTGCACAACTCCAGCCATGCCCATGGAAGCAGCAACCTCCCGTACAAACACACAGGATGCCACTAAGGAAACTCTTGATTATTATTGCTTGTTTCTTCCTAGCAGAAGCAACAATTTAGTCAATGGTCAACCTTTCGGATGTGAAGAACTAGCAGGTTTAATGTGCTTAAATCATAATTACTGTAACACCTTTTTTTTTTTTTTTTTTTTAATCGCGCAATATGATTCCCTGTGTATAATCTACATTATGTCCATCCCATACAGTGCAGTGCTGTGTGGATACTAGTACTGATATAAAGAAGATCCAATCAAGTAAAAGAGAAGACTGGGTGTTTCGTTAGAAATAATTCTTAGTGCTTTGTCTATTCAATATTATTAAACAAATGATTGGTTCTCACAGCATGCAAGTAATATCCTTGGAACACAAGGTCACAGAGCTGACAAGAGAGAAAAAATTAATTCTAAGACCTTAAAGCTTCCTAGAGTTTCCCTATCACAAATTACTGTAATTCTTCAATTTGTTTGGCCTAGCAATGATTTTACTGTGACAACTCTGCTTTTAAAAAAATATCTGGAAATAATGTGACCTATCTCTCAGTTTCTCTGTCAAGTGTCTCTGCAGACTAAAAAATTCACATGGCTTTAATCTGCCTAGTCTGACAAAAATTAAAGGTTTGATAAATAGATAAAAGCTAGCATTAGAAAGAATTATACGTCTGGTTAGCACCTTGCCCCAGGGTAGATGATCCCTGCTTATTCACACAGATGTTGCAGGAGTCACAGTGTGTTATGTGTACATTGTGCATCGTGTTATCAAAACAATGCAAAACAAGCGCAAGAGGGAGCAAGCTGCAAAATCTCTGCTTTAGATTTCTTGTACTTTTTTTTTCTGAGAGCTTCTTAGCTGCATTTATTCAGTGAAGTAATTGCTGAACTCATTCTTTGCTTCCTCCCTGGAAGGGTTCAAGGCCAGGTTGGACGGGGCTTTGAGCAACCTGCTCTAGTGGAAGGTGTCCCTGCCCAGGGCAGGGGCTTGGAACTAGATGATCTTTAAGGTCCCTTCCAACCCCAACCATTCTATGGTTCTGTTTGGTTTTTTTCAGTGTGGTACAGAGATACTGTTGTACTTTCATGTCTCAATTCTACCCTTATGTAACATAGGGGGATTTTTATTTTTTTTTTTATTGTTGTTGTTGTTGTTTGGGTCGGGGTAGAACCCTGAAGCACTCTGTTCCCAGGTAGAGATACGATGTTCTGAACATAAACAGGGACCTTACCACTGTCACACATTGTTCAATGAGATGTATTTGGTGGAATTATTACTCTTTCGTGAGTGGAAGGAGGCATTAAAGAAAAGCCATTAGCAATGCATTTGAAATTGAACACGGGCATCCTGTAGTGAAATTAGGTGACATTGAAACACTAGCGAAGGATCCAAAACCAGTGGTCAGGCAACAACTCATGACCAGCTGCACCTCTGTGTTACGCGAATTGGGATTGTGGTGTTTCAGGGTGGTTGCAGATGATACCTTTATCGACTCTGAAGAAAAGAACTAACTTCAGGGTCCAGCACAAGGAAGACTTAGAGACGTAGATTGCGGATCCCCATGGTCTGGTCTGTGCTCTGACAATGACCGTGCATTTGACCTACAGCAATTATACTTTGGCAGCCTCCTAGAACGGTGGCGAAGTGCAATTGTTGCAAAACACATTCAATTCCAGAAAGGCAGCAGGGCTAGGAGTGTGCATTAGCATTATTTTTTTACAGACAACATTTTCTTGATGAGATTTCAAAGACAGAAGAGGTATAACAGCTTGTTCACCGAGCCTTTGTGTTCTCACAGCTGGATTTCCTAAAGATTTGTGTCCAACACCCTGTAAATACCCACTGTTGCAACAGTGCTGGTTCCTGCAACTTCTCAACACAATGACACCATTTCCCAGCATTTCTCCATACCATGATGGCCCTTCTAGCCTTACACCCCAAATCATCTATCTCTGCTGTAAAATTCCCAGCTATTTCTACGTCCCACATTCCCTAATTTTTTTTTTTTTTTTTTTTTTTTTTTTTTGGACAAGGGGCAGCACATCCTCAGATGCAGAAACACGCTGTGTGCTCCCTGGGCAGCCAGCACTCTCATGCTGCTGTGGGCCAGCAGAACTGACCATAACCATATTCTCCTGCTTTTCCCTCGCTGGTAACACTAAAAGGGACTCACTTCTCTGTCAACCGTAGCATATAGAAGCAAATACTTTTGAGAACACTGTTCCTCTGCCTACCTCAGCTAATATCTATTAATTAGTTGAAGAGCTAACAGGGGAAGAGGATACCAACTGGAAGATAGGCAGGCTAATGTGAAGAGACAGACAAGGGAGCAGCCACCTCATTTTCTTGGAAAATGTGGTTAAAAAACGGTGCTACATCATACAGAAACAAAATGTGATGCATGGTTTGGGCTTTTCAATTAAGTCTCGTTTCTCTATGAGTCTGTGCTGATACCAGTCTGTGGATAGCTCAAGCAGAGTGGGAGTCAGAGGATTCTTCTCAACATTTTGAAGCTTGTCCTCTTACAGCACAGAGATGAGGATGCTACCTGTCTGATGGATCTACTTGTTTCTGTAGAGGAATATGAAATCAGTGATGAGGGTTAGATCTTTCTGCCAAATAATTTCTATTTATTTCTGTCATCTCTGAAAAAAATGCAACCGTTATCTAAAAGAGCCCTTATTAGGATTTTGAAGATGGAAATCACTGTGGAGGCTGAAGGAATTAAAAAAGAACAGCAGGTCAGCAAGGAAGGGAAGACAGGAAATATGCAGCAGCTAGATAGCTACAGTGAAATGTCATCCGCCTCCCTTCCGTGAACAGAAGGATATTCGAACTGAATTGCAGTCTCAGGTGGCTTTGTCACTTTTTCCTCAACATTGGATGCCTTGAAAAACCCATCAGCACATGTCACGAGAAGCAATACGGTGCTGCTTACCACAAAAAGCTATTGAAATGTGTTAATTGTGAAGAAAAATGTGGCTGCAGCACTCAAGCCCATACTTCAAATGATGTTTACAACTCCATCAGGACTAAGCAATACTATCAAGAGCAACTTGGAATAATTGCCTTTCTTGGGTCACTCATCTTCCGGGTGTTTCTTCACAAGGATTTGCCTGAAGCCGAGAGAATGGTCACATTGTGCAGTCCGTTTTCTCTGAGGTGATTATTACCATTAACTTTCTATTCAGTAGTAGAGCACACCTGCTGTCGGCCTTTTGTCAGGCTGTCCCCTCTGTACCCTGTCAGATTGCTTGTTTGCTCACTGTTAAGTTAGAACAGTGAGGACCATTTTCATATCCTTTGGGTTTTCCTTTTGCACAAAGGGCCTGCGGGAGTTTGCTGTTATGGTGACTTTAGCACCTATGAACACCTATTTCTCTTGGGACTACTGCAGTATCACTGCTACAGTAGCAGCTTCACTTTGCAGGACCATTTCCTCATTATTTCCTTTTAAGTTGCAGTACTCTCTATAAGCCACATTAAAGTGTAAGTCATAATGAGGTGGGTAACGCAATGAAAAGACAGTCTATTGTCCAAAGAGCTAAATGTTTAAATTAATTAAACATATAAATCATAGGGGCCATAGAAATCTGATTTTTTTCTGAGTATTAAGTTAAACTTCCTATGGAGGAAAAGTTTCCTGAATCAAAACAGCTTGCTCTAATCCATCTTTCTTGTTGATATGAATACTAAGTGAGGTCCCTGCATAAGTGGGCCCAGAATACTACTCTTCTTTGTTGCTGCTAAAGAGCTAAAGAACACAATTTACATTCCTAAATCTGCTAAGAAGGTGTGACAATGGTTTCCATCTTGTGCTTCACTATAAAAAAGAGGGAGATAGAGGAGGAGGAAAGTGAAGATGCTGGGTTTCATGTCTCTTATTTTTTATACAGAAATAAATCCAGTAATCCTATCCATTAATTGTTCCTGATTTATGTGGATGTAAGGGAAAGTATTCAGATTCTCCAATTTATGCATTTGTTCTTTTAGATCCAGGAAAATCTAAAATTCAGAAGTCTGTTATAACATAAAGAATAAGCCACTCTCCACCTCTACAGTCTCCATTTTATTGCTGCTGGTTGTGAAGGATCTCTGATCACAAGGATGCAGATGAGGGAAAAGAATGGTTTTCAAATTCTGTTTTGGTTGCCTGGATTATTTCAAGGTAAAATTAACATTAAATATACTTACAATGTGCACAGCCCATGTACAGACAGATACAGCTTATATTCCTGAGTACAAGTAATACCTACAAGATATACCAGGTATGCAACAGAACCAATCATTGCTTGTGCTGTGTATTACTTAATTGGTGGGAAAAAAAGAGATTTTTTTGGAAGAGCTGTTTCACCACTGTGTTCTGCTTGATCATTTTTTATAGGCTTTTCCATTTGGGTTTCCAAATGTTTCTCCAGAATGACATGTTTCCTTCTGTTCTGCACATCATTTTCTGTTGTGCCTGTAGAGGGCACAGTGGGAGTCAGTCTTTCAGCCAGCTCACTTTTCACTTTCTCAGCCGTATCTTTCCAGAAATTTTCTATAATAAATAATAAATAAAATTATGGGGTAAGACAGCAGACTCTTAGCAGCAGATAAACATGATTGCCACAAATTCACAAAAAAATCAGTTGAAAATCTTCTCTGGGACCTTACAACCACCATCGATACATTCTTTTGCTCTGAAAGTGAAGTGCACTATGGTGTGGTATCTATTTTTCTGTCAGTAGGGAAAAGATCTTTCTATGTGAATCTTTAGTACTGCCAGTCTTCTTGCTGGCAGCTGCTGTAAAATATAAATAATGCATTTCTACAGAAGTGAGAAACAGTGGCTCTATACACCACATTCCAGGGAGCATTCATTATCTGAACACTGTGTACTATCACCTCACCTTACTTCAGACAGATGATATTAAATATCAAGGAATACCAAACACTGATATAAATGCAGTTAGTTTTCCAGGTAGCATATACGTACGAATATTCTCTTTTTTCTTTTCTGGTGTAGAGAAAGAGCCATCACTCATCTTCTTTGAAGTCTGTGTTTTCTGGTTTGATCTGTATATTTTTGGTTCCTGGATCCACGCATGCTTCATTGCTTCATCAGGAGTCATGCGCAGGGCAGGTTCCCACCTTAAATCCATGGCAGGCAAATAGTTATTCAGCTGTTCCTAACTGAAAAGTAGTTTAAGCTGAAAGATTCAGTGTTCTCTTCTGAAAGTCTGGTCATGAGGACATTTTTTGAAACAAAAGAATTTTAACTGAAAACAAGGAAAAATCTTATGTGCTCTCCTCCATCCTCTGAAACTTTTTATTTACTTCAGCACTGTCTGTTTTGATAATCAAATCCTCTGCAGCTTCAAACCATTTTTAATATGCAGTTCATGGTGTCATTAGGGTAGGGACCCTACTGAATATTTGTTTCAAGGTTTTCACATAAGGTAAATGAGACATGGGATAATTAATTAATTCTATGTCTTCCCTAATTTAACTGCACCTGAAACTACTGTAGAGTATTAGTGTTACAAAACTCATGTGAGATCTTATTATGGAAATGAAAGGTGATTTTTTTTTTGAAAAGTCTTTACATTAACTTTATCCTCTCGCAGGTTTCATCCACTCAGTTCTCACACCCACATACTCACAAGTGTCAAGTGTTCTGGCCAAGACCACCTGTGTGTCACACAGAGGACAAGGGTCATCAGCTACTGAGTCCTCATCAGATCTCTGGAGTTCTTCCTGATTGGAGATGATGTACTAGTCTTTAGACAGATCTTTTATATCCTTTAGGAGTCACCTGCTGCTTGGGTGTGGTCCTTCAGATCAGAACTTTGCTGGCTTCAGTCTCCATAAATGATAGGCAAGGTAGCTACTCATGCTCTGGTTTTCCTTTTACTTTGGAATATATGTTTGTTTTCCTTTCTGGCTAACAGGAAAATGGATGACATAGGTGATATTCTACAACCCTGTTGCCATGCAATTGATATGAGCTTTGAGATTTTTCACTGTCGGTCACCTGTGCAGGGTGCAGGCTTCCTGGATGTGACACTGACACGCTCCCCAGTTTTACAAGTGGGAGCAGTGTCCTTTGTGACCAATACATACCATTCTTTTAGCCCTTGTTCTGCTGCTTCTTCCAGTGCTCAAACACACATACATTTCCATTCGTACTGCATTCATACCAATCCTAGTATTTCTGTTACTAATCTCTGTATCAGTTGCAGACTATTTCGTTCTGACTTGTCTAATCTCAGTGCTGTCCAGAGCTGTACAGAAATAATGTAGAAAAACAAAGGGATTCTTGTCATAACAAGAGCTGACTAATTTGTTTTGTTTGTTTGTTTGATGTTTTCATCTGTAAAACAGGTGTATACGAGTTGAATGAAACTATCTGAGAAGTCATGGCAAATGTATCAGGCTGCTTTGTACAGGCAACCGAAAAAGGCAAAATAGTTCAATTCTTTTTGTCTCAAAAAGAGTTTTCCCTTCAAACCTTACTTCATTCATTTGAAAATTTAAATAATCCCAACATATAACATTTTTTCCTGTGTGACCTGAAATGACTTGTTTATAGGGCTTTTTTGCTTCACTGAAACTATTTTCTAAATATTCAGATTCAGCCAGCAAACCAAAATGGACCAATGATTCATACAGATCTGGCAAACAGAGAACATTAAAAGTAACTTTCTTGTGAAACAGAAAGGGATAATTTTTTTTTTTTTTTTTTTTCACATGACCACAAGTTAGCTTGGTTTTCTTTGGGAAAGTGCTACTGAACTGCTAGAAAGAAACTTACAGTCAGTGCAGGTAACACTAAAAAAGGTATGGGACCAGCTTCTGCTGCCATTACACAGCATGAATTAGGATCCAAGATCACCCTGAAAGCCTTCTGGTGCCTATGCAAGATGTCAGTTTTTAAGACAACCAAAGTTTGTTACTGCATACTCAGTCTTTTAGTTTGATGGATGAGTAAAATCTCATTACTAACCATCTCCCAAGCAAAAAGACCTATTAGTGAAAGGACACCTCATATCAGCAGTGTCCATGGAGTCCCACCCTATAAAATGCCTAGTAACCTGCTCAGCTCGGAAAAGACACATGATCATGTTTGAGCCATGAAACAGTTCGCTTCTCCCCCAGTACTTCATTTATTAAGAAGCCCTATTTACTTTGTGATAACAGATGATATGCTGGTGACACTAAATCACATCTCTCTTCCCCCACACAAACACACAGACACGTTTCCACTGACAGTCTCACCACGAGTGTGGATCGCTATTGGAGCAGGTTGCCCCAAGAGGCTGTGGATCTCCCTCTGTGGAGATACGAAGAACCCAACAGGACAAGGTCCTGAGAGACCTGCTCAACGTTTGTCCTGCTGCGAGTGGTAGGGTGGGCTAGATGACTTCCAGAGGTCCCTTCCAATCTAAATTGTTCTGTGATACTAGGCAAAAAGTTCCTGGCATAGAGAATCTGTAGGATTTCTACCTTGTGTGAAGACAAGTTATTTGCATTTAACAGTTGACAAAAATGTGCAAATCATCAATTTCCTTTAAGAAAACAGCTGTGGACCACTTGTCATACTAGGTATTCAGTAGCAAAATCCTTGACTGGAGTGAAGTCAACAGTTTGTCCTAGAAATGACAGACTCAGAAGAGTCTGAGACATATCAGACTCTTTTCGCATTCTGAGCTCCACTGATTTACAAAAATCTATTCCAATCAAGAGAATTGACAAGTACAGTCTATCAAATAATTCTTGAAATAATGCTGTCAATGAAAAAATAGGTATAACTATGATAAGGAGGAAAAGGACTTAAATCATCATGCAAACTACAAGGTACTGCTCTGATAACTGTGCTAATTCCCCTTGCTAACTACCCAGGAAGAAGCAAGCAAACAATACCATTGATTCTGGGCTGGAGACATGGCTGAAGGTACTTTGCCTTTTTATCCTCTGCTCAGGGGGAGCCATATGGTGAATTTGAACTAAAGAGAGTCTAATCTCACCCAAGGGAACGTGCATGCAGAGAGCAAGATCTCTGTAAACAAGTATTCAAAGAAGCAGAACTGTTTTCATACATCTACCACAGTGTATCTATCACCCGTTTGCCATTTCCAAGGCCTAGCACAGAAAATATAGTCAAGACATTCAAGCCAGCTAAGTCAGCTCCAAATATAACTCCTGCTGGAGGAAACTGGAAGGCTTTCTTCCCACCGGAGTGGGAGTTAGATTTAAGTACAAAATCGAGATTTGATCTCCAGATTTGTACTGCCTTGGGACAGTGCATTACCATCATCTATGTTACCTCAATGAACCTTTATCAGAAAGAATTTAATACAAAGGCCTCAAAGTATAAAACCCATTGTTTTTATAGTTTAGTCTCCAGCATTAGAAGGTCTGCTTTTGGATATTTTGATGTCGGCTTTCTTTTTTTTACCTTGGACTGATCCTATATAGTCTTTCTGTGCAATCATTTCTCCCTGCAATAAGCTGTGAATAATAATAATAGTTACCCAAATACTACCAGGTGGAAAAAAAAAAAAAAACAAAAAAACAAACAAACAAAAAAAAACCCGAAACAACAAAAAAGCACACCCCACCAAAAAAAAAAAAAAACAATAGATACAAAGATTTTAAAGGCACAAAAAAAGCAAAAGTCAAAACTAGACTGCTGTATGTAAGTCAAAACTATGAACTCACATTAGACATCCTTTCAGAAAGTCCAAGAAACTAGCATCATGGGTTTTCAGCACTGTGCTTAGATCCTTGGAGTCTGGGCATCTCTTTTTTCCTTTGCTGTTAGTTATGGATTTAGGAAAACCTTTGGAATCTTAAAAAAATAAAGACAAGCTCAAAAAATTACATTAAAAGTCCTTACCAAATATTTAAGAGAGTTGCAAAACCAGTACCCATATTCATCCCACTAACTCCTGTTCTGCCCTGTTGGATTGATAGTCTGCCAGCATTGTGGCAAACAATACTAGTTACATTCTAGAGACTGCACCCTGCACTGTGTTTTTTTGTTCCTTTTGTGTAATTTCCTAAACCAAATTACACACAGAGGAATGAACTTATGTAAATTAGATCCCAAAGCCCACTGTGTACATTTTAGCAATAATATTTTTAAGGAGTAACAGTGGAATGGATTTCCCAATCCCTTCCCTATCACCTTGGCAATGAGAGGCCCATATGACCTGAAGAGCACAGCACCAGGTTCACTAGTAGGCCTCATGTTACCCTTTTGCTTCTCCTCAATACCTCTTCCTGAAGGAAGTTTTCTCAGCTAGGAAGCAGCTAAGGTTCTCTGACCCTACTCTCTACCAGTGCTATTAACTAGTAGTTAACTAGCAGGGAGGAATCCAGCAAGGACAAACCATCACAAGCAGTTACCAAAGAACGTTCGCTTCCTTGATGCAGCCTGGATAAAATCAGCTGGTGGAAGACCCAATACCTTCAACACAGAAAATGAATTCATGGAGTTACTCCTCATTTCACGAACATACATAACAACCATCAGGACAGGTGTGCCATCTCACCCTCCATTTGAAAAGAATTTGAATGTTGCTATTTATTGTGAAATGTCTACAAACCATTTTCTCTTGTGCCATTTATTGTGGAAGGAATTGAAGGATTTCTTAGAGCTGTCTGCACACAGAAAACGTGATCTTATAAAGGATGGCACTAGGATCTTCGCTACCACAGAAGGCTCTAAGAACAAGCATCTCCATTAATGACAGCTGTTGTAGGAGATCACACGGAGAGATGCTATCTTAGAAAAATCTCGAACAAACTAACATGGCACTAGAAGGATCAGAACTTGGGGCTGAGTTCAACATGAAGTTGCAGTTTAGTGACTGGTATGCAATAACTTGCTTTCATGGGTCAGTTTTGCACCTATTCTAACATTTGCACTGGGTAGGTTATTTGAGGTAGGAGATGGCACAGTACATTCCTAAAACTCTTTGAAAAACATTTACAAAGATGATAGAGCCAAACTCCTTGGTAGGAGCAGACAGTATAAGAATGGGCACCATCCACAAATTGTGGCTTGAGAAGTGCAGGGTGACTATTAGGAAAAACTTCTTCACTAGGAGAGTAGAGCAGAACTTGAGCAGGTCTCACAGTGGGTTTCTACTCAAGCCTTTGAGGTTTTCAAGATTTGCTAGACAAAGCCACGGGCAACTATGCAAACAATAGCAAAAATATCTTTCTCAGCAGGAGTTTGGACTAAAGAGATCAAATTCAACCAACACAGAGTTGGTTTCTAAGAGAAGATGAGCCTGTTATAATTTGGATTGCTTTTTCTTCCCCTTATATATGTTTCTTCTGTTCTAACTTCTCTGTACAAATTCTGACCAGATTAAAATATGTTTCCTTCAGAAGCAAGACAGTGAGTGTACAAAGCAGTGTTTGGCACATGAAACGAAAATAACAGTTTGAGTTAGAACCCACCCTCTCAAAGAGCCCTTTGGCTGTAATAAACCTTCCTCTAAAAGGCCAGTCCATAGCCTATTATATCTAATTCTCTCTTTGTTGCTGGCAGTGCAGTTTATCAAATGGGTATGCAATTTAAAAAACAATCCCAAAAGTTACCTCCATGATGCAGGCAAGTTGGTCAACTTCATTTTCCCCTGGAAACAGTGGGTAGCCTGTGTAAAGTTCAGCTATGATACAGCCTAAGCTCCACATATCAACAGCCATAGCATAAGGATGACCAAGAATCACTTCAGGCGAGCGATAAAAACGACTCTGAACATAGGTGTACACTATATCAAAACAGAAAATTAGACAAGAAGCAAAATATCATAATTGGGACAGAAATGTGGATTCCAGATTTCACAGAGAAGTGAAAAACATGTTCAGGCATTGTATATCTACTCTATCCATTAGCTGACATTAAGGGATCTGAAGGGAACATAGGCTCTGAAAACCTTTTCTAATCTCATCTTAAAATCAACGGGTGATATGCTTTCCACTATTCTGTTTGAAAATTGTTCTTCAGCAGGTTTCACTGAAATAAATTATTCTACTAATGCTGTGTTTCAGCTTACTCCATGCTCATTTTCCTATTTGGAGGTCTTCCCCTTGCATCAATCAGCAGTTCTTCATTATCACAGGCTTGCACTCCAGGAAATACTGGTTTCACTGACACCTAGGGTACATTTCCTAATGGGGCTCATGATAGGGAGCAGACTAATTCTTTTACCTCTCATCATTCAGACAACTGAACACAATTACAGCATGCAAGCTCTGTTATTTTCTTATTCCTATCTCTCTGATGGTCACTTTGTTTATATTTCTACACTTCTTTGCATCCCCACGTATTCATCTTTCAAGAAGGGAAGAGCCCTGAAAAGTAAGTGCTGCACAATATGTGATTTCACCAAATCTGTACAGTTAGAGAGTACTGAGGTGGCAATCTGTGCCCTTGTGCATTTGACCAACTGCAGAATTGTTGTCTGCTTTTTGTCATTCATGTCACAAAGAAATAGCTGACTTTCTGTTTTCTAGTCTCTAATCCTGTACCAATTTGAGGGTTGTCCCAATACTTGTTTCAGCTGACAGTCTTATAAATCATGCTCCATCTTTCTTTTAATTTGTTTTGTGCTTCAATTTGTTACTCTCTGCAAATATTTCAGATTGCATCTCAGATAAAATTCTCTCAAACATGAGCAAACCTAAAATGATTGTGCACTCCTACAAAACTGGGACATAAATCTAATGGTCTGAATCCAAAAACATAGATGAACAGGTTTGACTCAGCTTAAATAACAATCTTTCATAGGAAAAATATGAGCCACTTAATACTAATTTTGTCTTCCAAAGTTAATAAAATGCACTGCAGATTTCTTTCTTGAGTTTTCTTTTTTGTTGTTGTATATGCTTGTTTGTTTCTTTGTTTGTTTGTTTTTAATGGATGATATTTGCATTCCTGATGATGATATCATTCTTGATTTACAATTAATGTTAAGATTTATTATTAGGTGAATTTTTATACATACATTTATTCTTTACAAATTTTGTTCTTGTTATCTCTTGCACATTCTACTTACATATTTTATAGAAAAAAATAAAACTAAATGTAGACTTTCTAAACTAACAGCCTAGTTCCCATTCCTGCCGTTGTATTCATCAAAAAAGTACCAATTATAATTTAACCATTCCACCGAGAAAGTCTCTCTGGACCTGATAAACTCAAGCGAAGTATTGGGATTATCCTCATAGGCCTATTTCAGCTAACCACTCTTGCAAATGCAGTTCTGATTTCAACAGGAGTAGAGGAGCTGATCAGGCTTGGGACAAAGAAAAAGCATGGTAATAACTTACTTGTCTCCTACCAGTATTTGTTCCACAACCAGTGGCTGGACAGTTCATCAGATTCTAGGGGCACAGGTCATTATATTAACTCAGTCAAAAAAAATAGCTTTTCCACAATTTTTTAAATTAAGAAAGCTTATTAAGAAAATTACATCAACTTGACTTTTCTGCAAACCTCTTTGGTGTTCATAGCAGCTTGATCCAAAATCAATAACTTTAACTGAACCTTGGCCTTTGTGATATAATAATATGTTCTCCTAAAGAGAAAAAAAAAATCACAGGGAAAAAAGGGTTTTAACACCACATCAGGTTAGTGAACACTCTGGAAAATAAGCAATACATAACACATTGGGTTTACACTTACCTGCATAATAAAAGCTTCAAACTACAACTTCCTTGGGAATGCATCTACTAACATGAGTAGGCATCCAATAATGTGCAATTAACCAAAGCAGAAGGGAGATTTGTAAAGGTACCCAGTTTGAATGTTAGCTAGACAGGGACACTAGTCCAAGCCACTGCACTGTGCAGTGTGAGGTGCTATCAAGACACCAGCCAGTGAGAATGATTGTTGTGTAAGCAAAGTGAGTTCCTCAAAATGCACTGTTGCTCATCTAGTAGAAGGCAAACTGCATCTGTCTGCATGCTGTGCTAAATTAACCAGAACCATCCTTTTGTAACCAGAGAAAGCCCCTGCCCTGTGAATGAGTCGTACTTCACAGTTCACTGTTTTCAGTTTTCTCCAGACTCTCTGTAAGCATACCTCTCCCCACCTCACAAGAATGTTATGCAGAGATCCCAAGGGAGTGATGAACAGAAATGGCAGGGTCCTATGGATTATTAGCTGGGTGCAGATGGGTTCAGCACTGTGTGCCTACAATTCCAGCTTGAGAAGTGATTCTTAAACAGCTAGCTCAGGAATATTTGCACTGATGAGCAAACATAGCCTATAGGCTCCCTTCAGCAGAGTTGAATTCTAGCCTTATTAAAAATCTATCTAAATCAAGAATTCCCTTTGATTTCCTTTCTGATCATACAGTCTTCTCTATTTCTCAGCAGAGAGATGGCTACCTTTATCAAGTAGTTTTAAAGTGATTATACATCAAAAGCTTTGAAGGACCGAGCAGTTCCCAGGTTGATGACAAATAATGACAAAGTAGTTTCTTGGGTAATTAGTGGACTTTGTAAGGAAATGCGATGTGTGACAGGAGGGCGAAGCTGCTACTGATGAAAGTCAAGGCAAGGACAGCCTTCCACTACCTTGGGTGCTCTTGGGTCTGTTATGTGAAGAAGCATCCTCTCTCTGCAGCTAGCTATGCCTTCATGATTATGGTAGGACTCCGTCTCTAATACTGAATCTCTCACAATGCAAGGGAATGGATTAACTGCAAAGCCAGGTTCTGGGGGCAGTGATTACCTAGCATTAAGTTCAGGGAAACTCTATACCTTATGTTGAGAAATACCATGGGAGGCAGATGGAATAACATGAGTTTCAGACAACATAAATTAAATTCATGAAACTGTACAACTGTAGAATTAGAACAAAATTCACTTTTAGTTAACTCACTAAATGTTCACTTATATGTTACTCTATTTAAACACAGACTGCACTCATTGATCTTGTCAACCTCATTCCTTGTCAGTGGCTGCTTGGAAACAGATAACCCATTGGAATAATTATTTCTGATTAAGGTATTTTGGCTGTCTTGCAAGCCTCACTTCTCACTGCAAATTGGTCTGACAAAGATGTTGATAATACAATGGGTACAGACAATATGTGACTCTTCAGACTTTTGAGGCAAAACACATTAAACAAAGTGAGAGCAGAATCTCATGCTTAACATTCTTACTTGAGAGTTGATTTATTTATTTATTGGTTCATCTGCAGTTTTGAAAAAGAAATCAATAGAAGTATTACTTGAAATTAAAATACTTCAGAAATCTCAGAAAATTACCAACATTTAAAATTGGGGATTAAGGAGAGTGGAAATGTTTCACCTAGCATGAATGCTTAGCAGATACAGATAGCAGCAGGAATTGGATCACAGATGTTCCTCCAGAAACAGGTGAGCACCCTAAATACTGTACTATAGAATTGTTTTGTCATTAACTAGGATACTTAATTTTATAGTTATGCATATGAAAATAAATAGATTTAACAGGATAACCTGAAACAGGCTGCCTTGTAGATATCTCCTTGCATTATAACATCCCTCATATTGAAATACTTAATTTCACAAGTACTTTATTCTTTCTCTAAGCAAAAAGTCATTACCTGAATTTGATTTGTATTTGCATGCATTTTTGCAATCAGGTAATCTCATGTAATATTGCAGTGAATGAACTGAATCAATGGAAAGAATCACTTGACTCTATTGATAATAAAGTCTGAAATAAACTATAGCTTCTGTACAAATACTCTAATGGGTTTTAAGGATTCTTCTGAGTGTACCTCTCGATCAATAAGAAATAGGATGAAGATTATGTATTCTGTACAGACAGAATAACAATTTATGAAATGACTGTACTTACAGGCTTCAGATCACAGTGAATGATTCTTTCCTGGTAGAGCACTTGTAAACATCTCAGCACACACTGAGTGAAGTGTCGAATTAAAGACAAACTGAAACCTTGGAAATTGTTCTTTTTGATCAACTCATACAAATTTATTCTGCAGGGATTGTGAGGGTGGAAGAAGAAGAAGACAGAAAGCAGAAAAGAGATTAGGGAACTTATTTTTAAAGGCATGATTAGTTTATAGCACTTTAAGACAGTATTTAGCTTGTCTTTCTACACGAGGGACGACTCGTGCAGAAGAAAATGACTTGGTTATTTTCCTCCTTGAGAATGCATGTAATATGCACAAACATCTCCCTGAGCCTCCAGATCTAAAGAAGATGCAATGTCAGTGGACTTGCTTTCTTGCTAAACTCAGTGCTATGGTTACACAGCTGTGCTGATTTTCACCGGGAACAACTATCATTCAGGAACTGAGAGAAATAAATTATCTTCAGTTACCTTTCACTCTCATTTGTCTTTGCTTTGGCACCTTGTGTAAATCCTTTTCATCTAAAGAATCTTTACTCAGCAGTAAATTTTTCTAGATAAATCCCCCCCTAAATTCAGGACTAGTTAGGTTTTCATATCCCTCCTGTCACCGTCATATCTTAGCTCCTTCCAGGTAGGGCATTAAATGATGTTGCTAACTTCTGCCAAGCATGGTTGGCAACATGTGAACGCTGCCCTGAGACCCCAAGGGCACCACCAGCCCCAGTGGCCTGGGGTTCCCCCCACCTGCCCACAGCCCAGGACCCCGTGTCAGCCCACCGGGGCCATCAGCCCCTGCTCCAGCAACACCACAGCAGGACCGGTCTCCAGCTCCCCACAGCCTGGCTCCAGGCCAGGCCTACCCACAGGCCCACGTCCCAGCCCGGCCTTGGCCCACAGGCCCACGTCCCAGCCCGACCTTGACCCACAGGCCCACGTCCCAGCCCGGCCTTGACCCACAGGCCCACGTCCCAGCCCGGCCTTGGCCCACAGGCCCACGTCCCAGCCCGGCCTTGGCCCACAGGCCCACGTCCCAGCCCGGCCTTGGCCCACAGGCCCACGTCCCAGCCCAGCCTTGGCCCACAGGCCCACGTCCCAGCCCGGCCTTGGCCCAGCCCTGTACCCAGGGCTGTGGCTGCCCCAGTGCCCCCCAGCTCCCCTGCTCCTGGCTACCAGGCCCTGCCCTGACAGAGCCCCCACAGCTCCTGGTGCCAGAGCCCCAGGGAGCCCCTCGCCTGGGCTGCATCCCAATGAGTACTGTGTGCTTAATGCGTGGTCTTTCTTTAAAGGAGGAAACGGCCATGGGATGGTGGGTATTGAAGGGATGCACAAGGGTGTCCTCAGCAGGACCACACGCGTCTACAAGGACATAAAAAGAACTGTAGCTTTCTGCCTGCCCTGCTTGTGCGCCCACTGGTGTCAGGCAAGGCCCATTCCTTCAGAAGTAAATTAAGTTATCAGGACCTTATGGAGAAGAAAGTTCACAAATTAAGTGGTTTTCACTATATTTTAGAAGCAATAAAAATTTCACCATACAGATTTTTTTCTATGACAACCAGTCTTCAACTCTTCTGTAAAGAGCTGAACACAGCGGCTATCCCACGGATGCTTTCCTACAGGTTTCCACAGCAGCTGTCTGAAAAGACTGGTCTGTGTCTTCTCTGGAGAGTAGTTAACTCTTATCCCTGTGTGTCTGCGAGTGGCAGACTCACATGCAGCAACACAAGGAATTTAGGTCTCTTTGAGATCAGGCTTTCCATATATAGCAAGGGCTGTAACACGTGCAGCAACGGGGGCTTTACTTTAAGGAATGGGAAACTCTGGGTAACCTCCATAATTCCAGTTTGATGCCCTGATTACAAGGAGGCTGGTAAATAAAATGATCTGACTTCTCTAAAATTTCTCCAGAATTCCTCCTCTGTCCTGCAGCACAGGTTCACAGAAAGCAAGAAGAAGCTATATTTTTAAATTAATTAATATTATTCATATATCTATATATACCCTGAAGTTTACTGATCCTGAATTCATTGATTTACTCTTTTCCCCATAGGTCTTTCAGGGAATACTTCAATACACAGCACAGGAAATAAGGGATGGATCATGTAAATCTGTGTGAAATCTGAACGGGGCCTTTTTCAGTTCACCTTTGGTGACCAAAGGCTCAGTTATGCGATCTGTATTTAGACAGTATTCCTTTCTTGTAACACTAAAAGCTGAAAAGTCTTACAAAGAAGACATAAAAATTAAAGCTTGTAGGGCACAAGATCTACAATGCTCCTTAAGATTTGTATAAAGGAAAATATACTTTACCCCAGCAGTTCAAAGGAAATACAGAAGTGATTGCGGAAGTAGAAGTATTCCTTCATGTGGATGATATTGTGAGTATCATCTTTGTCCTTCTTCAGGAGAGCATCAAGGATCTTCACTTCTACCAAAGCCTGGCTGTGAAATCTGAAATATCACATGACATAGGAATGATAACATTAACTCAGTCTAGCATTTCTAGAAATACAAATGTGACAAACACCACAATCTTACTGTAAACTCAACATGTGGGACAATTATTAAAAATTTATCATTCACCCCTGTTAACTGCTGTAACTTGGAGTCATTACAGTTGTTTCCTAGTCTAAATATACTGGCCTTACATAACACTTAAGAGTAGTTACTTTGACTTGTCTGAAAAAATGTTTTAATGAAAAAGTTTCAAATGAGCATTCAGAGTAAAATCCTAGTGTTTCTAAGTTTATAGGAATGCTTCTGTTCACTCAAACAGAGCCATAGTTCACACCTACCCCACTAAGACACTTTTGAAGAGCATCTTTACATTTAGTGTTCACTGAGGGGGAAAACTGAATACCTAAAACTCTGTTTCTGGAATCAACAATATCATTTTCATCTGCTTCACTGACTCTGGTTCAAACTAAACTCAACTAAAAATTTTTATCTAGTCACATAACAAAAAGAGGTTGTTTAGGACCACAGTATAGAATTTTTCATGTTAAAATGAGTGACTGGAGCCTCCCAGCATATTCCTACGGTTTTGGAGTCTTGGAGAGGAATGTAGGCTCTCAGGTCTCAGTCACGCAGGGCTGGTTACCTGGGCTTTGTATTAACTGTGTCACAGATACAGAGACCTCCTTGTAAGTCTCAGAAAACTGTGCCTGCTTTCATAGACTGTGTCTCCACTGGGTCCAGGCCAATTCCGAGTCCCTGACATTACCCTTCCTCACTCTGTTCTCACTGTGTTTAATCAAAGCCTGATGAACAGGCAGTTTGATTTTGCTTTGTTCACATCATCCCAGATTGTCACTGCCTATATAACAAAAAGCTGATTGTACCGGTTTAAAGTCAACAGATGTCTCACCTTTTCTTATTCCTTATTATTTTCAACGCCACTAATTCATTGGTTTTATGATCCAAGCATTTAGCCACCTGCCCAAATGACCCTTTCCCAATGACCTCCAACACTTCATATCGGTATGCAATATGGTCATGTAAAACCTTGAAAAGAAAACAAATAGTTCAGATTCAAATAGTATGACAAAGATCAAGCTTTAAATTAGTTCATATGTGTGTGAGTTTACCGTCTATGAAAGGTGCTGGACTGGTAGCAAGTGAGGTCCACATCAAACAAGGGTGACAGAGAAAATAACAAGTGCATGCTTTAGTAATCCACCTACATCCATCAATTCTGAATGAGATGCAAAGTGAGTCTCTTTTTAGGATTGTCTTCTGAGCTTTAAAGTGAGTGGTACTGATGTTTTCACCATGTGAATATTTATCTTCTAGAAACAACATTTATGTCACATTGATCACTTAAGAGTTGGCAGACAATCATTACAGACTTATTGATCTGAAAATAAAAACCACAATTTTTCCACTTACCTTTAAGTAGGAACCATGCTCATCATCGTAACAATTATTATTCTGGGTTTCAGGCAAACCTTCAATCTTTTTAGCTTCCAGCCCAAGAAACCATAGCTCTGTATAATTGAAAATTTCTTTTTGCTCATAGACTGTTAACTGGTTTCTAAAATTTTTCAAGGCTTCTAAATCAGAAAACAAGAATATAAAACCAAAAATCAATAAAATGTCAAAAACCTGATGACAAAGTGCTTTTACAATGGACTATTTTACAGTAGATCATGTCACTCTGAGCAGGAGGCTGAGTAGCTGACTGTTAGAGGTCCCTTCCAACCAACATTTCTATGATTTTACAATGTTGACATTTTGCACAAATTTATGTTTCGTTTTTCTTTTTCTGACTTACAGTATTATGTTCAACAAAGCATTCATCATCTGTGAGCAAGACACTAAGAGAGGTCAGGTAAAAGTGATTTGATTCTGAGCAAAGTCATGTACCTAGATGTTTTTGCAAACTCCATCTGTTGTCTATCTGCTTCAGCAAGCTTCATAGCTTACATTAAAAAAAATGTGTGTTGTTATTGGTTTGATTGTCATATTTATAAAATGGCAGTAAGCTTTAGTTAACAAAAACTTTCAAGTACTTGTTTTTTCTGATAAAAAATGTCAAGTTCAGATGCGGGAGGTTAGAAATTAAATGGGGCCCAAATCTGCTGTTCTCCTAGTTCTGATTCTTCCTGCATAGAAACATTTCAGCTACCCTAACACCTCCACTTATATAATTTAAATCTAGATAAATAATCTGATGGTGGCATTACAAATCAACGTGTTCTCTAGGCATGAATGTGGGTGTTTTGTTAAACAGTGGCAGATCTTCATCCACTAATGCAGGGATGCTAAATCACTTCAAAGCAAAAGGCCGCTACTTTTTTTTCCCTAAACTCCTAAAAATAGATTAACTCTGCCAGAAACTTTCTAGATCTGAGAATTCCCAAAATGTAATTTAGCCCACATAGATAAAATGTGACACAGCTGCAAGCAAGTGGGAAAAGTAATTTATCACTGTAATAGAATACTGCTGTCACCTACATGACCTGTCACAAGTCTTAGACAAATATACTTTCTTTTGTATAATGCATACTTCTCTCATCTATATATTTGTGTTAGTATATTCATTCTCCTATTGTGCACATCCACAAGTAGGATTTTTTGAAATCACTGATCACATCCATATTCCTGTACTCCAAATTTTTTGTTAAATATTTCAGTGACAATTTAGCATGGGACCTCTGGTCACTGAGTATCCTGACTGCATACACTTCTTTTCTGTGCAGGCAGCCTGTCACTCTAGTCTTTTTAGCATGTTCTGTTATATTCTACCTGAAGCTGTCATAGGCAGTTTGACACTGATGCTGGTGCTTTCCAGTTCTGATGGTTTTGTCTGGGCTCTGGTATCACTTTCGGGAAGACTGTCTGGAAGGTTAAATTGGGAAAAATTGCCTCGAGTTCCATTTTCCTGCCAAGCAAAGAAAAAAAAAAATGTTTTCAGATATTTTCATAAACATTCAGCTGATCTGTAATTATATAAAAACATACACAAACATATTAAAAATATTTTTAATTTTTAATTATTTGTCCCAATTTTTTTGTCCCAAATTAATTTTTAATTGTGTGTCCCAAAGAGAAAGCTGCAAGATATTTATTTTGGATTTGTTGAGCGATGTCTAAGTCAATTTTGTGCTGAGACAGAACAAGCATGTTTGGGGACTAGAATGCCCTACTTACCCAGAGAGCAAAGTCTGCCAATAGCACTGGAGGCTATTCGACCATGGCAAGATAAATCTCAAAATAAGAGAATTAATTTAATCTTCCAGATTCATTCAATACATGCGCGCTCACTTTCTGTAAATGGTACAAACTCCCACTGTTTGATTAAGTTGTAGTAACTCGCATAAGCTAGTACAGAGGACAGGAAAGATAGTATAATAGGCATTAACCATCTCAGATTTCTATGTGGGCACATCCACTGGAGAGTTGTGCTAGAATCCTTGAGATTGCTTGTGCAGCCCACAGAACTGCAGGGACACCAGCTTGGGTCTGCACGCATACACATTTATAATAGAAACAAGACTGGTATGAATGGGAAATGAATGGGCCTGTACGTGTACGGAAGCACTCGAAGGAAGAAACTACAGAATAAAGGATATACAGATGTCACCTACATCATCAGGTGGTCAAGATCCCAGAACATGCAGATTGTCAGGGCTCCCAGAATACGAAAACAAAGGACAGACTACAGACTCAAGCCATGAAGAGATGATGGAGGGCTGGAGATAAAAGAGCACTAGATAAGGAGACACAGTGAGCTCTGGGATAAGGATGTAGGGTGTGGAGGCCCAGGCCACATTCTCCTCAATCCTTCATTGAGGGGAGAAGACTCAGCTGGAGATGATGCATCCACCGGATCAGTACCTGGCTGAAGCTACAGAGAGGGCTACGGCTTCTACAAACACAGGATGAGGAACAAGAACTGCTGAGCAGAAACAGGATCCATCTGATGAAGTAAGGCAAGAGCATCTGCAAAGAGCTTTGCTAACACAGTGAAGAGGGGGGGGTCTGATTAGGTACAGCAGGGAAGTCATCATAACCTAAAGGCCTTGATACTCATGGGCTAATTCAGTCACCTCAGCACCTGCTGAAGTGGGAAAAGCGTTTTGGGAGACTTCTGGACTGTGTGCTTAATGCACATGATCTGAGATGCGCTGCTGGGCCTCTTACTCACACGCAAGGAACAACTGTTTGAGGATGTGAAGGTCAAGGAAAAGGCAGCTTTGGCTGCAGTGACCATGAGATTGTAGAGTTTAAAACCCTCAGAGAAGTGAGACAAGTAGAATTACAAACCCTGGTCTTCAAGAAAGTGTCTTGGCTTGTTCAAGGATTTTCTCATCATAAACCCATGGAAGACTGCCCTGAAGTGCAAAGGAAATCAGGAAAGCTCATTGATCTTCAAAGTCAGTCTCCTTAAAGCACAAAAATACTCCATTCTAACATGCAGAAAATTGAGCAAAATTGCTGAAGGCCACCATGGATGAAAAGGGAATTTCTGACCAAGCACAAACACAGTAAGGAGCACAAAAAAGGTAGAAGCAGGGATGGGTTATCTGGCCTACATGCAAGAAACAGTACCTGAATATGCAGGCATGTTTGGGAAAGCAAAAGCTCAGCTGGAATTGCAGCTAGCAAGGGATGTGAAAGCCACTAAGAACAGTTTCTATAAGTACATCACCAGTAAAAAAAAGGAAGGTTAAGGGAAATGTGAACCCAATGCCCAGTGGAATTTGGTGACAAAGGATTTGGAAAAGACCAAGGTAGTCAGTGCTACTAATTGTTAAGTTTTTCCCTCAGGCCTCTCAAGTCCCTGAGTCTGGAAGTAGCATTTGTGTAAAGAAGCATTACCTGCAGCACATGCAGATAGTTAAGGACCACTTAAAGTAGCTGGACATACCTAAGTCTGCAGGACCAGAAGGATGCACCTGAGGGTGTGGAAGGAGCTGGCCAATGTCACTGCAAGGCAGGTCTCTATCATCTTTGAAAGTCAGTGGCAATCAGGAGCAGTTCCTGACCATTTGGAAATGGCAAATATCACACCTACCTTTAAAAGGGACAAGAAGAAGGCTTCAGCGAACTGCAGGCTGGTCAGCTTTACCTCAGGCCCTGGGAGGGCTACGGAACAATTCCTCTTGGAAACCATTTCCAATCAAATGAAAGCCAAGAAGCTCATTTGGAACAGCCAGTATGGATTTGCCAACGTAAGCTTTGAACTGAACAAGTTGATTGCCTTCTCTGATGAAGTGATTGGCTTGGCCAATGAAAGAAAAGCAGTAGAAGTTGTATACTTTGACTTCAGCAGGGCCTGTGACACTCTCCCACTGTATGCTTGAAGGCCAAAGAGTGAGATATGAACTGGCTAAATGGATCATAACGTGAGTGGAAAATCGGTTGGATGGTCAGGTTCTAAGGGCTGTGATCAGTGGCAACCGGTTGCTAGTAACACCTGTCAGGGAGCAATACTAAGGCCAGAACAGTTTAGTGTCTTTATTAATGACCTGAAAAATGGATGAGTTCACCCTTTCAAATCTGCACACCATAGCAGGACTGCTGTCCAAAGAGACTTCAGCAGGCTGGAAAAATGGGCTACAGGTATCTTCTAAAGATGAATGAAGATAAATGCCATCGTGCATGTGGAACAGAATATACCCGTGCAACAGGACAGACTGGGAGACAACTGAAAGGATGCAGCTTTGCAGGGAAGGGCCTGACAACAACCTGAACATGAAGTAGCAGCGTGCCCTTGTAGAAAAGAAGGCCAAACACATACTGGGTTATAATAGCAAGAGGACAGCCATCATCATGGGAGAAGTGATCTCCCCCTCTATTCGGCATTTGTGAGTCCATGTTGAGAGTACTGTGTCTAGTCTGGGGATTCCCAGTACAAGAAATACATTGACCAACTGAAGGAAATTCAGGGGAGAGGCCAGGGGATGGTCAGAAGCCTGGAGCACATGATGTACAAGGAGAGGCTGCAGGAAATGTATTTGTTCAGCCTGCAGAAGAAACTTCAGGAGTGATCTTACTGCTGTCTAGTTACTTGACAGGACGGTATAGAGAAAGCAAAGCCAGACTTCTCAGAGGTGCATGGTTCTAGGACAAGATGGATATGCAGCTAATGGATACAAGCTGCAGCACAGGAAATGCTGATTAGATATTAGGAGAAACATTTTTTAGCATAAGAGTGGTTCACTATTGCAACAGGTTGCCCTGAGAAGCTATGGACTCTCCAACCTTTGAGATATTCAGAACCCAGCTGGACAACGCCCTGAGCAACCTGCTCAAACTTTGCTCTGCCTGTAGTGGGAGGTTGGGCTAGATGTCTTCCAAAGGTCCCTTCCAACCTAAATTATTCCTTAATTTATTTATAATTTCTTATCTCTTGAGAAAGTCCTGATGACTCACAGAAGTGGGACAGGATGGAGACACAAAAGGTCAGTCTCTCTCAGTGTCAGAAGGGTACACAAGCCATAGTCAATAACCAGCACATGGTTGCCAAGACAAGAAGAACCCAGGTGATGAGATATGGACTAACCAGCGGGCAATCCTAGTCCACCATACGCTTGTAAGAAGTCCTAGCTGGTACCACGTGGCTACATGCATCCTGATGCTTGTGAGTTTGGGGTTAATAATGTGTTAGCGTGAAAGACAATGGGTTTGTTTTAAAATTAAATCATCTTCCCGCACTTGCCTCTAATCTTGGTACTTTTTTGCAATATTAACTGCTACAAAAGCAGGGCAATCAGCTAAGAGGGGTACCACTTGAACAGCTCAAATACAGGTCTGTGCTGACACAGGTCAGTCCTACTGCTATCTTGCCAAGCCCCAACTTGAGAACTCCACTCTGCCCATTACTCCCTCAATTCAGCAAACGATGTTATTTCTAAGGAAGGGTAAACAAAGAAGGTCTCCAAAACAGACAGCACACAAGCACGATTACTAGATTGAAATGTTTATTATCGCCTGGCATTTCTAAGCCAAGCAAAAGGCTTTCTTATTGGTATTTACACAGCTTCTTATATAAGTCTATACACTCCATTTAAAGAATTAAAAAAAACACTTCTGTAAAACGCTTGACTCCAATCTTTTCACATAAAATAAAATGGAGGGATGGTTCATTTTTGGATGCAAAGCTTAATCATTGGCTTTTGTAGAAACCGAGTGTAGGTTTGACTTATGAAGACCACAGAATTAAGCTTTAAAGAAAATTAAAATTATTTTGGAGACTAACCCATTCCACCTCATCCTTCATGTTATTTTGCATCTTGCAGCTTCACCCAATGATACACCCCCCCAACCAAATAAAATAATTTGCAATAGTAGAAAGCTGCTAATTTAAAAATCAAATATCTGAGAAGACTCTTGACTTTCCAAACAAAATGCTTTATGTGAGGACTTCCAGTGCACAAGATTTGAAAATACCTCATATCAGAACCCTGCGGAAACTGTGAAACCTCTCAATAAAGAGACTCCACTGAAGAAGAAAGGTGAAAAGGGAGTGATCAGAGTAGTGGTGGTGAGTAGTGCAGGTCCCTGATTTGTTGGGGAGAGAAGCAGCAAAGAAGGAAGAGTACAGACAGGGAGTAGACACAGAATTTGTGAAAAAATGAGAAAGAAGGAATGCCAAAAGTGAATTCTTGTGATGTTGAGTGTCCAATACTTCAAAAATTCCTGTGATGTTGGGTGCCCACTAAAGTATCTGGAGATATATACAACCATGCTGGTTAGTAGTCTGTTTGTTTGACTGTTCATAGGTCTTCTTTTTTTTGTTGTTTTTTTTTTGTTTTGTTTTGTTTTGTTTTGTTTTTGTTTTTGTCTTTTTAACTGCGGCTGGAAACAGAAACTGATGCAAATGCTGACACTAAATTATTTCTCTCTTCCCACACACAAACACACTTGTGACACTTCGCCACTGCCACTCTCTTAGCAGTACTTAGAAGGAAGCTGATTAACCAGGCAAACACAAGATGTCTAAGAGCTTTATAACTCACCTGAAGAGAGGGCAGGACATTCTGCAAGCTCCTATTTGTTATCTGAGGGAGGCTGCTTTCAAGTGGGGGAGGGTTTGCAGTGTCTGCAACCAAGCCATGCTTTGCTTGACCTTCCAGATGTGGGAGGGAAAGAACACCACGACTGACTTTCTAAATAGAAAGCAGAAGTAAATATTACATAACGATTTAGCGAGCAATTCTGTGTAGCGCTTTCGAAAACCAAAGATTTTAAACCTTGGAAAATGTGTATGGTTCACTTCTGACACCTAATGGCAAAGGGCAAAACAGTGGATGCCCTCCGGCAGCTCCCAGTTGTACTAAGGGCAGGAGGAGTTTGTCCAGGCAGTCGGGCAGCCTGGCACGTTTTAGGGCATGAAAGTTTCCCTACAAGAACACCTCCATCCAGCATCAGAGTGGTGACAGCTTCAGCTGAAAAAGGTGGTTGGACTCGGCAACTGAAGAGCCGTTCCAGGCAGCTGGACCCCTTGGAGTGGGGAAAGTAAAGCATATGTAAGGTAACAAGCAGGCATTAATTGTAAATGGCAGGCAACATCATTAGCTATTCTCAGTGGTAGAAGAGAAATTGGGACTGGGCTGCTGCCAAATACCAGGGGTGGAGACAGTGGGAGGATCTTCCCTGCACGGGTTGCTCAGTATTTCTTTCCCCCTCATTTCCCATGGAGTTCACTTTGGCTAGGCCCCTTTGTTGTACTCCTCAGTAGTGAGGAAAAGGCAAGTTCTGTGCAAACTTTACTGAAAGAAATGCTTATATTCATTTGAAAACTCCAGGATTATTAGCCCTTCCTTTAGACTTCTCCCTTTTGTTATTTGTGAAATATTTATATACAACTCATTCCTTAAAGTCAGTCATTTAAGGATGAGGGTTTATGAATGTTAGGACCTCTAAAATTCTTGGATATCTAAAGTGTGAGAAATCACGCTCTTGGCAGCAAAGAGATAGAGATTTTGGAGGTAGACTATTTCTTTGGCAAATAATAAAAAAAAAAATATTTGAAATAGATCTGAAATAGATGAACTATGCTCTATCAAATGCAGAACAAGGTCCAGAGAGTTAAAGCTACAACCCATATAAGCCTGTGAAGTTTTTGTCATAAGGGAATCACAGAAACATATTTGTCAAGCTTTTGACACAAATGAGAGGTTTGATATTTTTCTCAAAAAGCAATTAAACAGAGCTCTCAAATCAACATGAATTAATAAGTTTTCTTTTCCAATACTATGGAAAAGTCTTTAAAACCTTAGAACTGAGATTCCAGTGGACTTTTCATGAAAGCTTCAATAATCAGAAGTGGCTAGGCAGAAGAAATGTCTCAAATGCCACTAAACAGCTAGCAAAAACAAAATACATGAAGGCACTTGGGACAGTCATACAGTTACAGGAGAAATAGAAGAGGGCAGGGAATAAAAGACTTCCCTTTGTTCAGATGCATTTATTATAAGGGGTCTCTTAGAAAACAAGCATTCAGATATTTTTAAAGCCAGCTAAAGAGTCACATACCTGATGGAAGACTCTGTTAGATCCCAGATGATCTCTCTCTTGAACATTCAGCTGAGACTGAGAAAATGCATCCACATGGGAAGACTGCAAACATGAAATGGTGCTTTACTAAAAATTATTCTGGGAAAAAAAAAATATCCTGAAATCTCTGTATGGTTTCTGTGTTTCCTTCCTTTGTGGCAATGACTGTGCCAACACAGTGTATGAGAGAGGACCACAAAAAGCTGCTGAAAGCACACGATGCTCTAGCAATTCCTCTCCTGGCTGAACAGCTGGTTTGTGGGCAGGTGCAGAGACAGCTTGCTTTGCCTATTATGCCTCTCAGCATGCTTGATGTGGTCAACGGAGGGGAAGGGGGGCCTTTGCCATCCCTAAATACATGCTCGAAAGCCGATAGCGAGTCTGCTTGGAGGGACAGCTTTAAACTACGACACAAGGTGGACTGTGAGCCCATCCATTGTTAATAGCAGCATTAAACTGATTCAACTTGTGGCACAGATTTTATGAAAATACAGTATTTAATCCAAATCAATGTTTAAATGTACTGAGATACAGAAAAAAAAAATCCATTGGTTGCAATGGACAGATAACATTAACAAGAAATAAAAACAAAACAAAACAAAACATGGGGAAAGTGCTAAGCAACTCTTCATTTTTAAGATTTTGCTGGTGCTTTCAGCAGTTTTTTTATAAACATGATAGGCAGCACTGTACATTTCTGTCCAGGAACAGACTGCAGTGAATTGCAGAAGTCTTTACAATAAGTTAGACACTCTGGGGCTAAAGCAGCTTGGAGCTCTGCTCTATAGGCTGGAATAAACCCCACTGGATTTGGTCAAAAGTGCTCCCTCGTCTCTGGGCTCTAAGACACAGTGTTGTTCCACTCATAGTCAAAAGATCATCTTTATCTAAGCAGACACATCTGTTCCACTATAGAAGTTCTGAAGTTGTAGAACAGCAATATTTTCTCTAGAAGCAGAGGAACTTGGAGTGGGAACCTTAAACTTAGTTTCAAATTAACAAATCTGCAGCCAAAATTATCTTATGGATGTGAGCTGCAGATTAAAAATACTTAAACAAAGCAACATGGTATTCTTTCTCTGTTTTGCAGCCAGGGCTTCCATGGCCTATACCTGTCACACAGTCTTAAATGGGCAAAACACCTACTGGTAATAAAGTCTTCGCTCTTTGCAACAACTTTTAGCCTATCTAGTGCCAGTATCAGTGCCAGGTGATCACTTTTCAAATGAAGGCCTTTGTCGTGGACTTCAGTTAGTCCACATGAAAAAAAATATCTGCCTACTGTAGGAGTATGCTTAATGTGTTTTGTACTAGCAAGTACTACAAAACATCTCTCATGATGCAGCCTAGCCATGCTGAAAGGGGCTCTATCTGAACATGAAAGAAAAAGAAAGAGAAGAAGAGAAAAATTACACAGATAAATAAGTCCTTCTGTGAGCTTAAAGGGTAAACTTCAGATTCAGAACAAGCTGAGAACAACAGCTTTGGTTTTAGCCTTACTATGTTAACTCTGGGTTTAGCCTTATTACATTAATTGGGTCAGTTTGAGAGGAAAGGTCATGGATATCTGTGGAGTAGAGGAGAATATTAGGAAAGGGAAAGGTATTAAGATCTGTCTTTGTATGACATAGTAATTCCCATCTTTGGAAATGGAGATCAGCTGGCCAGGGGTAAGGGATTATGTGCTGTAAATCCAAAACATCCCCAGAGCCACCACAACGAATGCCCCCAGAAGAGAACCATTGGAGTACTGCATCCTGCATATGAATGTCCTAGATCATGAGATACTTTGCCCAGTGCAACAAATATCCTTGTGGTCACTATCCAGTGTGAATTTACATAAATGACCTATGGAAAACCCAGTGCCAGAGTATTTTTACAGACAAACACTTCACATGCAAATGACATAGCCTGCATTTCAAGGGAGAATCACATTTGCTATGAAGATGTGTCTGGGACCCACATTCATAACTCCACTAGATATGTCAACCCAGCTCTTAATAAGACTATTAATTTTAGTGCACGTTATACTTTTTCACATACTTCATCTATACTCCCAGCCAGATTTATTTTTTCAGTTTCTGGAGCTGATGAAAACATTACACTCAATTTAAAGAGTTTCTTAACCACTTTGTGCTTTTCTAACTACAAGTCGATATGATGTGAGGATTTCAGAGAGAAACAGCTATCACTGAAAACCAAAGAAACCGTGGACTTGACACACCTGTACAGACTGCAGAGTCTTCATTCCAACATGGCATTTTATTTCCTAGCAATACTTTTAAAAGGCTATGCAGTGATGTCTGTATTACTAAACATAAAATTCAAAATATATTGTATTTACTAATAGAGTATGAACAACTCACAAAATGTCTTTAAAACACAGCAAAAGCTAAGAAAGCAGGTGACTGAGCTCCCAGATTTGAAATCCATTTAATTTCCATTCACTGGGGAAAGATTAACAATATTTTGAGATGAATGCTTCTCCTTTTACACTGCAAAAGCAAAATCAGTCCATCAGCCCATGGGCATGCCTTTTTTTAATCATGGAAATCTGTGATTCTCTTTGTCTGTCTTTCTCAAAGCCTACTTATTAAGGGTTTATAGTTCGCCAGTGCTCTTTGGGCAGTTTATTCAAAACACCTTAAAATCAATAACTGATCAACCCTCATAACACTCCTTCAAATAGCTAAAGAGCATAGCCTTTCATCCGTGGAAAAAACTGATCTGTGCCTACAACAGCCCTGCTGGTGGCTGAATGGGGAGCCGGTGGCTTGATCAGTTAGTCTGCACAGTGACTTATTTGATGGTCTTGATCCAGACGACCCATCAGCTGCTGCTCTAGCAAAATCCTGTACACTTAGTATGGGTGAGCTGTTGTGACTGGTCTAATTCTGGCAGATGCACACTAAACAAAAACTGCAGCAACTGTTACTATTCCACTCCATTTCACTTCTGGCTGTCCTACTCCTATAGCACTCAACCTGTCCTATAGCTCCAATATCGATTCTCAATCCCAAACTATCATCTCCTGCTATTCCAGCCCTTCAAATCATTACCTTGCTAATTCCTGTTATCACTCAAGAAACAGAACCGTGTCCTCATTCACTACCTAGTCTGCAGTCATAAGGAGTTTTAGGTACTGAGCATACAGCATTCTGCAAAATCAGAAGTTGTGACATATTTTCATAATTCCCAAAATGTCATCTTACTTTTTTCAGTACCTAGTTGACCATAGAAATCAGAAATGCATTAAAATTTTAGAAATTATTAAATATACGGCTATATAAAATATAGACAGTATTGTCTCCTCATTTAAATGGGTACTTCTCTCTGCCCTCAAAACTTAATAAAGCCTGTAGAATACTTAGAGAGAATGCAATGTAGGTATTAAATCATGCAATATATTAAAAAGCCATAGCACATGCACTCTCACTAACTCAAAATACAGTAGGAACATAAACATTTTCCCCACCTTGTCAACTATTTCTGTCAGCATAACTGCAAGAGCCGTTAACTGCAGGATAGAGATTGTTTATTCCATTCGGCGAATGCATTTCAGGAAGCCCACCTTCATCTAGTCAGAGCATAGCAGGATCAGTTTCATACACAGTACCCTGATCAGAAAAAAAAATGGATAACCCTTCTGCTTTGGCTTCAGATTTAAATTTTTATCCCGGAAATATGCCAGTGACTATTAGCTGCTCTAGCATTCTTTTGGTGGCCATCTGTTCCCTTTCTCAGCCTCCTTCTAGCCAAATATAATTTTCCATATTTATCATGGCAAGTCAGTAATAAGAAAGACAAATATAACAGGATTGGCTGTTCTCCTTACCGTCTCAGTCTGTTCTTTCTCACTGAGCTCATGTGCTTGTGAAACCAAAAAACACTTGAACTTGTATTTTTTCAAAATTTGTCACACTGACCTTGCTATACAGTGAGTGAAATCTATTCACCAAGACTGCCAGTCTGGAAAATGAAAATAAATTAATATCTCAAAGGTTGATTTCTTACTGGACATTATGTGTCATTTATTGAGGACCAAACTGTGGCACCTTGGTCTGTGGTTCTTGTTGGCATCAGTGCAGAGCTGCTCTGCCCTGTGAGATAATGAGGCTTTCATTTTGTTGTGGATAGTGAGACAGAGCTTAGCTGCCATCCTCTCTTTCCCCTTCCTCTTTTGGGTGTTGTGCATGTGTGACGGAGCACTGATGGAGGCGGCCCTATCCCCCCACCATCTTAGGGGAATATCGAAAACCTAAAATACATTGTGCTCTCCTCCTTCATACAGCCAAGGAATAGCATGTTCCCTGCTGGTCTTAAATCTGTTGACAACCCAGAATAGTTCTACTTTCACTCAGAAACCAGAGTTTTCAAAGAAGAAATACATGCTCACCCACAGAAGCTATTCTAGAAGGCTGCCACTTTCACTGATGCTCCCGGAATGAGCACCACTTTTCACACTGTGGTCTAAAGACAAACAGCTATTCTTTTGCATTCATGGTGGTCCACGCAATGTCCTTGCCCAATATAATTGCTGAGGTGAACCAGCCTAGAAGGCACATCGCTCCCACTTTTCCATTCTTCCAAGCTTGGCGACTCTAGCCAACAAAGCCTCCCCAGTATTACACCTCACGTGCATGAGAGACTTCTCATTCTCTAGACAAATAACCACACAGGCATGCCAGCAGGGCAGGTTCGGCCCTGGGAATGTATGGAGATGCCATGTGCCGCAATCCAAATTAAACAGCATAAACACACAGCAAGTCTATTTAAGTTAAATCACTCCCACACAAACATATACAGACAAACAGGCACGTGCGAGCACATACAGCTAGTTACTCTCCAACTCTTCCCTCCCACATGTATAATAAGCATTGCTGAGTAATTTCACCAAGTTTCACAAGAAGGGATTTAACTAATGTAGTGTGGGGCATATATTCTAGCTGTGAAAATATAGATTTGTGGTATTGGAAATCATCCGTGCAGTGCACTGTTGCTATCACATTTATGTACCACACTGATGGGGAAGTGCTGTGATCACTACTGGCACTCGCTAATGG